TAGGCACTTTGGGTACTTTATACTGAGGAAGGAACATTCAGTACAGAATAAATTTTGAATTCAGTTTGTTTGGCCTTTGATACCAATTACTACTAATATAAATGGTATCAGCACCTGGTAGGATAGCCTGCTCCTGCGCTAAATACCAGCTACAACACTTAACGCATGTGGACCCAATGATCAGGGAAAATAATTGCCCTTTATAATATAACCTCAAGGATAAGGTGCATCATAAAGGCCCGTACCAGTATCAGATTTTTACGGATTACTCATTACGAGTTGAAAGCCTAAATTAGGATTGCCCAAATAAATTCAAATTGTGTTCATCTACGCAGATAGTTTATTACTATATAGCCTAAATCTATTTACAATAAATACCATTTAAATTGTTAAATTTTGAATATTTTCTAAATTATTTATTCTTAAGTTTGTCCATGAATTAAGATAAAATTATTATTGTTGTAAAATTCATTGGGCTTGATTATTTATTATATTTATTAAATTATTATATTTATGAGGATTTTAAAAACTTTGCTGTTGCTATTTAGAAAATTAATAAATTATTATTATAATTAATAAATTATTTTATTCCCCTAATTCCCCTAATTATCCTGTTTTAACTAGGGCATATAACACATATTTATTATTTTATTATAATATTTTCCAAGTTAAACTGAGTAATAAAAAAAATTCATTCATTTTGATGATAATGATATTACAATTACAGAGACAGACTAGTTTTTTGTTAGGTAATAAAGCCTTGAGCACTTACAGTGGATATGTGAGCTATACAAATCATTATTATTATCTTCGCCATGAGATATATGTTTTCAGTCATGTGGGGTGTGTGTGTGTGTGTGTATAAAATCTTCGTGTTTTGCATGTTTTTTTTTTGTGTGCGACATATCTTAAGAAAAGACTGCACAGACATAATTGAAAATAACATGGAGTGAGGAATAACTCAATGAATTTTGGTGATTGTCCGGAGAAGGGTGTGGATGTGAGGACCAATTAAAGGATTTTAGAGCAAACGTTCTAGACAAGATATTTTCAAAACTAATCAACTGAATATGAATGAAAGTCTAACCAAGTAACAAGGAAGATATTATTATGTGTCGATGACGATCCAAATTTGGGTGTGAATTTGAGTCTCATTTAAAATGTCCAAGACCTAAACATCTCTAAGAATAATCAATGGATCTAAATTTCATTTTCCACAATAATTTGTCATGTTTCGATGAAAAAACATTTTAATTTTGGGGACCATCCGGAGTACAGTGTGGATATGAGGACAATTTAAAAAATAGGTTTACCGTATACCGTAGGCAGAAACAATAGATAATGAATATTTAAAAATTAGTACTATTACAGTAAAGGTATACAGCGTTTTATACAGTCATTTTCACAATAAAGGGGGCAACTTTGCATTTTGAACAATTTGCTCAGTAGTGCTCTTTG